TGCCTCAGCCTCCCGAGTAGCTGGTATTACAGGTGTGTGCCACCACAGCCACCTAATTTTTGTATTTTTAGTAGAGACAGGGTTTCACCATATTGGCCAGACTGGTCTCGAACTCCTGACCTCGTGATCCACCCGCTTTGGCTTCCCAGGTGCTGGGCTTAAAGGTGTGAGCCACCGTGCCCAGCTTGATGTTCTTTAAACAGTCAGCATTCCTCTACTTATTTTAACATTTCCACTAATAAATTAAAACTTAAGAATTTATAAAATTAGATATGCCCTCTCTTTTAAATATTCACTTCTGAGGTAAATAAATCTTAATGTTTCATTATATCCAAACATAAACTGTCAGATTCTATTAAATGCTTAAAGCATTTTTTTTTTGTCGAAAAGAACCTTTATTACTTTGTATAACTGCCTCTTATGCTTTCTTGCCAGATGCCTTTGGAGCAGGTGCTTTCTGGGCTGGAGCTTTTTGACCCTTTTGAGCTTTAGGAGCAGGCGCTGCCTTCTGGCCTGTGGATTTCGGGGCAGGAGCCTTCTGGGCTGGAGACTTCTTGCCTGCAGCGGTCATCTTTTTTGCTGGGACTTTAGCAGCAGCTGCAGCAGCACCCTTAGCAGCAGGTGCTTTTTTGGGAGAAGCTTTCAGGAGAGCTGCCTTTTGAAGCTTCTTAACTTCATTCTTGATTATTCTGTTCCTCATTTTCTTTGCCTTCATAACTTTAAAATGATCAAAATCTGTCATCTTGGCTTTCCTTTCTCTGGCTTCAATCTTCTTGGCCCATCCAGTGGCTGCCCATTTCGTATTGATGTCTGCCTTCTGCCAGGCTTGCCGGACATACTTCTGGCGGGCACTGTGTGGAAACTTGAGGATGAAATCAGTGAGCTGCATGCACTTGAAAGTAATTGCACTTTTGTCTGCTAATGCACCCAGGCACCCAGCAGAAGGAGATTGGCGAGCTGAAGGCAGTGATGGAGGGCATCAAGATGGAGCACCAGCTGGAGCTGGGTAACCTGCAGGCCAAGCATGCCCTGGAGACCGCCATGCACGTGGAGGAGAAGGAGGCCCTGCGGGAGAAGCTGCAGGAGGCCCAGGAGGAGCTGGCCGGGCTGCAGCGGCACTGGCGGGCCCAGCTGGAGGTGCAAGCCGCCAGCACCGGCTGGAGCTGCAGGAGGCCCAGGACCAGCGCTGGGACGCCGAGCTGCGCGTGCACGAGCTGGAAAAGCTGGATGTGGAGTACAGGGGCCAGGCGCAGGCCATCGAGTTCCTCAAGGAGCCGATCTCGCTGGCCGAAAAGAAGATGCTGGACTACAAGCGGCTGCAGTGGGCCAAAGCCCAGAGCAAACAGGAGGCCGAGAGGTTGCGGGAGAAGCTCCTGGTGGCCGAGGACAGACTCCAGGCGGTAGAGGCCCTGTGCTCCTCCCAGCACACCCACATGATTGAGTCGAATGACATTTCAGAGGAGATGATCAGGACGAAGGAAACCGTGGAGGGCCTGCAGGACAAGCTGAACAAGAGGGACAAAGAGGTGACAGCCTTGACCTCCCAGACCGAGATGCTCAGGGCCCAAGTACGTGCGCTGGAGAGCAAGTGCAAGCCCGGCGAGAAGAAGGTGGACGCCCTCCTGAAGGAGAAGCGGCGCCTGGAGGCGGAGCTGGAGGCCGTGTCCCGGAAGACCCACGACGCCTCGGGCCAGCTGGTCCTCATCAGCCAGGAGCTGCTGCGGAAGGAGCGGAGCCTGAACGAACTGCGGGTGCTGCTGCTGGAAGCCAGTCGCCACTCCCCGGGGCCCGAGAGGGACCTGAGCCGCGAGGTGCACAAGGCTGACTGGCGCATCAAGGAGCAGAAGCTCAAGGACGACATCCAGGGCCTGCGTGAAAAGCTGATCGGGCTGGACAAGGAGAAGCCCCTGTGGGTTCAGAGGCACTACTCATCGACCCCTCCTCCTCGGGCGTGGGCCTGAGCTCTTGCAGCTGCAGCACCAGCTGATGAGCACGGAGACACCCTGCGGGATGCGCTGGACCAGGCTCAGCAGGTGGAGAAGCTGATGGAGGCCATGAGGAGCTGCCCCGACAAGGCCCAGACCATCTGCAATTCCGGTTCTGCAAACGGCATCCACCAGCCGGACAAAGCTCAGAAGCAAGAGGACAAGCACTGACCCCAAATGGATTCCGTGGAGTGGCCCAGTCCACACCATAGCCCCCTGAAGCTGCCCAGTGGCACCTCCTCCAGGCAGGAGCCGGGACTCTCACTTTTGAGACAAAACAGTGTTTGAAACAATAAGGTACTCACCGCCGTGGACAATCCCCACCCTGATCCCCTGCCAGACCAGGAAGCTTCCTCAAGCCTGGCCTTCCACAGAGAGTGAGAGCAGTACAGCTCTGGCCTGACCCGGGGACCTTCGGCCCGGATGCCTGGCAGCTTCTGGAGTTTGTCGGTGAAGGCAGAGGGATCCAGCTAGGCCCAGAAGGAACTGCCCTGATGACCATCTTAGCACCCCTGTGCTCTTTTTCTGCCTGTTCTCCCTCGGGTCTCCCCAGGATGCGGGAAGGGGGCTCAGTTTGTCCATGCAGGCACCAAGGAGGAAAGTCCAGTCTTTAAGAGTCAAATGGGAGCCCCTTTTCTGAAGCCATTTCCAGGCCAAGGCAGTCCCCAGGGCTTCTTGTCCCCACCTTCTGAACCTTCTTCAAACAGTGGTACAGGTTCCCCTCAGCCAGCCTGCCTGCCCAGCAAGGCCCCCAGGTTCAAGGTGTTGGCAGGTTGGGGACAGGATTCTCCTCCCCCATCAACACCAACACACACACACACCTCTAAACTGCTGGCCGAGGATGTCACCAAGGCCCCAGAGCCACAGTATTATGAAGGTTTGGAAGTCCCTCTCCTCACCTCCCACCGTGAGCTTGGGCAAACCCTGGCTCGGAGCTCGGGGCAGGGGGAGCCTGGGGTGGAGGCACCAGGCAGGTTTGACAAAGGTCAGTAATACGGTGTCCCCTGGGGCTGACCAGATCTTCCAAATCATCTGTATCCACCTGCAAATGCATATGAGCGGGCCCTTATGTACACACCACATTCACACACACACGCACACTCAGAGGGACCACGTGTGCTCACGATCGTGTGGGTGGTGCCATGAACCACACCCAGGCCACACAGAGACACATATTGGCTTCTGGGACTGAGACCCAGGCCTGGCAGGATGGTACCCACAGACACTGCAGACATTCCCACAGCTGAGAGGTGCGCACACACCAGGTACCTGCAGCTGGGTGTTCGGGGGTGTGTGTACCACACAGAACAGCCCTTCCTTGTCTCACCAGTCACCTGCACAGCACACCTCCAGCCCCATCTCCTCGAGGGGGAGGGGGGAAAGACAAATCTAACTGTCTCATACCCCCAACCCCTACCCTGTCTTCCCCTCAAGCCTGCTAAGTTATCCCAGGCCTGTGCATGCTGGAAGAAGCCAGTCTTGGCCCTGCAGCCTCCTCTCCACTGGGGAATGGATGGGTTGCTTACAGCTTTACCCCCTGGCCACCCGACATCAGCACAGGGGGTCCTGCCCCACCCTCTGGCAGCTCAGGGAGTGTTTTCCTTTGAGGCCTCCTCCACCAGGGGACCAGAGGGAGAAGTCCGATGCCCCATCCCGGCTTTCCCTTAACTCACAGGACGTGTGTGCAATTCATATGAACGGCCCAGGTCACCCTTGTGAGCCCCGCCTGGTACAGGTAGGTGGCACTCACGCTCCTGCACACATGCAGCCCAAGTGGGAGTCAGAGTCAGTCCTCCGGGCCCCCTGCCAGTCCCCGTCAGCTTTCGGTAGCTCACATGCAGTTCTAACAGCTGTCTAGAAGCAATGCTTTAGTGGCCTAACCCAGGGTCAAATACAGCTCTTTCCAGCCAAGTCAGGCAGCTCTGCACCATCCGCGGGGGCACCAATTAGTCCACTAACAGCGAGAGATCCACCCAGCAGGGCACCGGGAGGAGCTGGGGCTCACGGTGGTGGGTTTCCCCGAGAGCCTCTTCCTCCAAGGGCCTCTCCACCCACCCGGTGTGGCCGCCCAGGGGCGGGGCTCAGCCATGTCCCATGTCCCTTCCCCAGGTCCATCCCACGTCCCTCCCCTCCCCACAGTGGAATTGTTGAAGTGTGGCGAGTCTGTGCTCAGGACAGTAAAGCTTGTGACAGGTCCAGAAAAAAGAAAATGTTTAAAACATTTTAAGAAACAGAAGATACACCCAGAATGTCACAATCATTATATCAAACCAGTTATAAAAATGTTAACTTCACTGGGCGTGGTGGCTCACCTGTAATCCCAGCACTTTGGGAGGTCTAGGTGGGCAGATCACTAGGTCAGGAGATTGAGACCATCCTGGCTAACACCGTGAAACCCTGCCTCTACTAAAAATACAAACAATTAGCCAGGCATGGTAGCATCCAGCTACTTGGGAGGCTGAGGCAGGAGAATTGCTTGGACCTTGGATATTGGAGGTTGTGGTGAGCCTCGATTGCACCATTGCACTCTAGCATGGCCACAGAGTGAGACTTCATCTCAAAAAAAAAAAAAAAGTTAACTGCATGAATTTAATTTTTTTCTTATACTTATTTGAACACTTTCCCTGGATTCTGATTTTTCATATGTTCTAGGTTTATGTTATTCTTTTTTTTTTTTTAAAGAGAGTCTCACATTATTGCCAAGGCTAGAGTGAAATGGCACAATCTCAGCTCACTGCAACCTCTGCTTCCTGGATTCAAGTGGCTCTTGTGCCTCAATCTCTTGAGTAGCTGGGATTACAAGCATGCACCACCAAGTCCAGATAATTATCATATATTCAGTAGAAACGAGGTTTCACCATGTGGACCAGACTGATCTCAAACTCCTGACCCCAAGTGATCTGCCCGCCTCAGCCTCCCAAAGTGCTGGGATTACAGGCATGAGTCACTGCACCTGGCTGAATTTATGTTATTCTACCATGTACTTTTTTTTTTTTTTTTTGGAGACAGAGTCTCACTCTGTCACCAAGCTGGAGTGCAGTGGCGCGATCTCAGCTCACTACAGCCTCCGACCCCCTGGTTCAAGAGAGTCTCCTGCATCAGCCTCCTGAGTAGCTGGGACTACAGACATGAGCCAGCTAATTTTTGTATTTTTAGTGGAGATGGGGTTTCATCATGTTGGTCAAGTTGGTCTCGATCTCCTGACCTTATGATCTGTCCATCTCGGCCTCCCAAAGTGCTGGGATTACAGTCATGAGCCACCATATCTGGCCTTAAAGTTTTAATTTTTGAATGATTTTAATGATTTACACATTCAAAAAATAAGATTAAAAGGATAGAGTTTTTTCTATCCTCAAATACAAAATTATATACAAACAGATACAAATGAATCTAATTGTGCAGAATATTGATAGAACCATACAGAAGAAGAAGAAAAAGTAATACAAGAAATGTTTAACACAGTGCTGTCATTGTACACTCCAAGGACAAAAAGAACCATCGAAAACAATCTCATGCATCACGTAGAAAGTTTGTTTTTATTTGGGGTATTGTCACTACAATTTCAAAAGCATTTAGTGTATATTGTAGGATTTAGCATTCATCATTGATGTTGCGGGGATAGGGACCAGGGTTCTAACTCTATAGCCCAATACTTACTAAACTTGTTCAAACTAGCCAATCCCAATCCTGCCCTGCCTGCCCTTTTCCATAGAACCCCCAATAAAGGCAGGGGCCTAAACGTTCTTGCTCTTGTCTTCTGCCTCCTGAACACCTTAGTGTCTTTCCCATGAGGCCCTGTGTGGCATGCTGTGCACCTTGTTTCTTCAGCAACTATGAGTATTAAAAATCTCTTAATGGCATCAGACTCTCCATGTTATCCCTCAGTCACCTTTGTAAATTAAGACCTGGGCACAATGCAATTGGAGATTTAACCACTATTTGATTAATTAGAAAAGGACTACCCAAAACATGGGTATTCCTATGTTTCCCTTTAAAAATTGCATTTAATATAGTTAGTTGTTGCTATAGGAATAACTATATGTATGTTTAATGAAAAATGAAACAATCTATATGTACTAATGGAAAAGCTTAATGGACCTTAATCTGTATGTTCTAATTGTAAAGTTTGTGACTCTTACTCAGAAGCAGACACAGAGGTAATCTGGAGGGTTTTTCCTCTCCTATGTGTGTCTGAAATTTTATTTTTTAAGGAAAAGCTAGAAGTAGAATAATCAGCCAGCTTATCGAAGCTAGTCAGCATTGCTTCACACAGAATATTTTTTCATTTATTTGTGACTTTAGTTTTTTTTTTCCATTAATGTTTTATAGATTTTAATGTGCAGAAGTTTTACCTACTTGGTTAAATTTGTTCCTTAGTATTTTATGTTTGGATACAATTGTAAATGGGATTGATTTCTTAATTTCCTTTGTGGATAGTTCATTGTGTGTATAGAAATACAGCCAACTTTTGTATGTTGATTTTGTATCTGGCAACCTTACTGAATTTGTTTATTAGTTATAAATTCTGTGCAGTGGCACAGTGATGTCTCATTGCAGCCTCCAACTCCTGGGCTCAAGAAATCCTCCCACCTCAGCCTCCCAAGAAGCTAGGACTACAGGTGTGTGCAACCATGCCCAGCTAATTTTTAAATTTTTTATAGAGATGCGGTTCTCACTATACGGCCCAGGCAGGTCTTAAACTCCTTGCCTATCTACAAGAAGCCCTCTGATCCCTGTGTTTCTGGGGGTCACACCAACTGCAGGTGCTTGGTGAGCACACTCTGCCTTGACACCTGACATTTCTGTGATAACATTTCTTCTCGGTTTCTGCTCATTGTAGAACTGCTGTCAGTCAAATGTTGGTCCTTTTGAACTGATCCTGTGATTACTTCTTTCTACCTTTGCTTGTAGATAGGCTTTCCTGAATCCAAACACACACACTCTCTCTGCTTTTCAAAAAATTGGTTTTGGGGCCAGGCGTTATGGCCCTCTCCTATAGCCCCAGCACTTTGGGAGGCTGAGGCAGGCAGATCACTTGAGGTAAGGAGTTCCAGACCAGCCTGGCTAATATGGTGAAACCTGTCTCTACTAAAAATACAAAAATTAGCTGGACACAGTAGCATGTGCCTGTAATTTCAGCTCCTCGAGAGGCTCAGGCAGGAGAATCGCTGGAACCCAGGGATGGAGGTTACCGCGAGCCGAGATCATGCCACTGCACCCCAGCCTGGGTGACAGAGCCAGACTCTGTCTCAAAATAAATAAATGAATAAATTTTTTAAAAAAATGGTTTGTATTTTAACAATCCTGCTTTTCATTTCCAAGACACCTCCATTGTTACAGAGAACTCTGTTCTGCTCTTAGGGATAAAGTGGGTTTTGGGGGAGGTGTATCTTTCGCTTTCTGCATTATCTCTCTTGTGGTTCTTGTTTGTTTGTTTAGCCTTGGAACTTCCCATGAGACTCAGTGCTCAAATGTCTGATTTTCTCTTTTCAAACCCTGTTTATGGGGGAGGAAGGCAGAACTGCTGGGTGCTCCTCTCTTGTGGTTAACTTGAGACAGCTGGACAGCCAGCTCCTGGAAGGGAGGCCTCCTGCCTCCAGGAGGAGGTGTCTTGGACTTCGGGGCTGCAGTCTGGAGTGGGACGGCACTGGCTCCCACTGTTGTCCTGCCATGCCTGTTCACAGCACGCGTCTCCTCACTCCAGTGATAAGGCCACTGCTTCCCAGCTGCTCACCTTCTTCCTGCCAGGCTGTCCTGCCATGTCAGCCTTCTCTTTCCACCTCAAGAAGTGTCTCTAAATACTTTGTCTGCAGATGACCTCTCTCCTGTTCTCAGTGCCACTTGGGCCTCCCTAGTGGAGGTGCTGGACTCACCTGACCCTGGCTGCTGGAGGTGTCTGCTTAGCTGCCAAAGGGCAGCAGCATCTCCAGGACCCTCCCTGGCCCCTGCCCTGTTCATTCCTTGCTACAATGTCTCAGGAGGTGCTGAGCTCAGAGACCCCATGGGACAACCTGGGATGGGGGCTGAGGAAGGCCTCTTGGAGGAGCCCTGAGGCGAGGTGGCCCTGGGGTGGGGTGGAGGAGGCCCTGATAAGAAGGGGCAGGGGCTGACTCCTGCTCTGGGTGTCCCTGAGTGAGTAGGGGTCTGCCCCCTGCTCTGGGTGTCCCTGAGTGATGGGGGGGCTGCCTCCTGCTCTGTGCATCTCTGAGTGAGTGGGGGGGGGCTGTCCCCTGCTTTGTGTGCCCCTGAGTGAGTGAGGGGCTTCCCCCTGCTCTGTGTGTCCCCAGCCTGCTAGATACCCCACAGGGACCAGGATGCTGAGGAGGGAGAGGTCTTCATGGGGACAAGTGGCTTGGCTCCTGTAATATGGAGACAACACTGGCTTCCTGGGGGAACAGCAGGGCAGGGTCCTTAGGTCCCACCATAGGTGCCCAGGCCTGGCTGAGATTCCCCAGTGGCCCCAAAGGAGCACCTGGGACAGGCTGATGGCCCCTTGTCCTCCCTCCTGTCACCCTCAACCCTGGGCACTGCCATCCTCAGCCTGGAAACCTGAGCTCCCTGACACCCCTGCCCCTCTCGCAGCCTATGCTGGGGAAGGCTGCTGCTCTCTCAGACAGCCCTGAAGCATTTCCTCCCCCCAGCCTCTTCATCCCTGTGGTCCTTGCCAATCACCAGAGCCCGAGATGGTGGGGGACTCTTGGAGAGACGGAGCCCTGGATCCACAGTCCTGGGGTCCCTCACTCACAGGGTCAGATACACTCTTGCCAAGGAGTGTCCAGGATTGGGGTTCGCCTCAGGTCTGGGATCCAGGATGTCTTACAGGACAGGTCACGGCCACAGCAGGGGCACTGGCTGGGGGCCGGAATTCCTGTTCTCGAGGGAGAAAAGTGTGTGGCCAGCATGGAGTGCTGGGGGGCGGGTGTGGCCCCATTTCCAGGCAGTGCTTCCCTGTATACCAGTTG